ATCTATGTGGAATGGGCTCCCAAAGTCCATTCATTTCCTAGGGATAAATACTGATTCACTACCAGAAGCCCCATAGACTGCTCAGTCCTCCTAACTAACACCCACGTTTAGGGGTTCTGGGTCCATCCTGTGCTGGCTCCCCAGCTATCAGACTGGGTTCCATAAGCTCCTCCTTGTTCAGGTCAGCTGTTTCTGTGGGTTTCTCCAGCCTGGTCTTGACCCCTTTGCTCATCACTCCTCCCTCTCTGTAACTGGATTCCAGTTCAGTTCAGTATTTAGCTGTGGGTGTCTGCTTCTGCTACCATTAGCTACTGGATAAAGGCTCTGGGATGGCATATAAGGTAGTAATAATTTAAAGTAGTCTCTCCACAATTGCCTAGATTGTTAGTTGGTGTCATCCTTGTAGATCTCTGGATATTTCCCTAGTGCCAGATTTCTCTTTAAACCTACAATGTCTCTCTCTAGTATGGTATCTCTTTTCTTGCTCCTCTCTATTCTTCCCCTAACTCAATCTTCCAGCTCCACATGTCCTCCTCTCCCTTCATTTCTCCCCTTCTCTTTCTGATAACTCCCTCCCCCACCCCACCCCCATGCTCCCAATTTGCTCTGGAGATCTTGTCCTTTCCCCTTCTCTGGGTGGGGGGGGGACCATGTGTGTCTCTCTTAGGGTCCTCCTTGTTTCCTATATTTTCTGGCCGTGTAGACTGTAGGCTGGTAATCCTTTGTTCTATGTCTAAAATCCATATATGACTGAGTACTTACCATGTTTGTCTTTTTGTGACTGAGTTACCTCACTCAGTATGGTTTCCTCTAGTTCCATCCATTTGCCTGCAAATTTCAAGATTCCATTGTTTTTTGATTTTGTTTTCTCTGAGTAGTACTCCATTGTGTAAATGTACCATGTTTTCTTTATCCATTCTTCAGTTGAGGAGCATCTAGGTTGCTTCCAGTTTCTGGACATTACAAATAATGCTGCTATGCAGCACCTGGGATCACATGTCTTTTATCCCAGCTCTAGGGAGGTGGAGACAGGAGTGATATGGCTGAGTGGAGAAAGGGATAAAAGGTAGGAAGAGACAGGAATGAAAAGCTATTATCTCTAAGGATTTGTGGAGATAGGATTGCCATTTCCGCTGAGTAGATATAGTTATTTTCAGATACCTCATATGGTTGGAATTAAGCAATTTTTATCTTTTATGAATGACTTTTTCATTTAACAAAATGTCTTCAAGGTTCATCAATATAGTTGAACATCACAAAACTTTTTAAAATGCTGGGCAATTGTCGCTAGTTTTTGTTATGGTGGCTAGTGTTTCACTGAACCAGAAAGAACCAATATTTCTGTGAGATCCTAACTATCCAGAAATAGGATCTCTAGATACATTTTCCCTCAATTTCTGAGAAAAGGTCTCACTCTATAGTCTAGACTGCCCTGGAATTCTCTGAGAAGCCCAGGTTAACCTCAAACTCACTGTAATCCCTTTGGCTTCAGACTGATTTCTGGGATTGTAGGTGCCACCGTATCTGACTACTTCCAATTCCTGAGGAAGTTTCATACCATTTTTTTTTTTTTTTTGGAAGTTGGACCATTTTGCATTCTCACTACTGAAGTTCAAGGTTCCAATTGTTATTTAACATTAATCAATACTGGCTTTGCATTTATTTGCATGTTTATTTTTATCCTTCAGTCGTGTCATAGCTCTCAAGACTCTTTCCCTTCCCTACTTTCTTCCCTTCTTTCTTTCTTGGAAGGGATTCACTCTGAAGCTCACCCTATCTTAGAACTTATGCATCCCATGCTGACATCAAGCTTGCTATCCCCCAGCCTCTGTACCTTGAGTGCTTGCTGGGATAACAACTCTCTTAAGAAACCATTTGAGGCAATATCTGAAGTTTATGCATTGTGGTAGTTAGTATGCAATTGGCTCCCATATGCTCATAGGGAATGGCACTATTATGAGGAGTTGCTTTGTTGGAGGAAATGTGTCACTGTGGAGGTTGACTTTGAGGTCTCATATGTGCTCAGGCCACCCCTGGTGTCTCAGTTCACACCCTGTAGTCTTTGGATCAATACGTACAACTCTCCAGCATCATGTCTTCCTAAACACTGCCATACACCCAGCTGTCTTGCTTCCTGCTATGATGATAATGTACTAAACCTCTAAAAGTATAATCCACCCCAATTAAATGTTTTTCTTTGTAAGAGTTGCTGTGGTCATGGTGGCTCTTCACAGCAATGGAATCCCAACTGAGGGGTGGGGGGAGGCTGGACTGAGGTAAGCAGCAGCATCAATAATACATTTCCTCTTCTATAATGCTATGCTCACTTTGGGCCAATAGTTAACAGTGTCCAGCAAACAGGTGCTGACAATTCTGAAAACATAATCCCAAATGAATGTTTCCTGATCTGATTCATTTTTCTTTGGTATTTTGTCACAATGATGGGAAGCTAACTACCTTAGTCACTAATTGTCTCACCTATTATATCACTCCCTGTTTTATTCTCCATCCACACTACATACTGTGCCAGCTGGTAATAGTCTGAACAATTGTCATGTGATCCTATGTTGCATAGTACCTTTGTCCTGTTCCTCCCTAGACAGGAGGCCAAACACATGAACAATCCAAGCTTAAAGCTACAGTTTCAGTTTATATTCTTGAGACTACTCATAGGGGCCAATTACTGCTGTGGTCAGGGCCCAGAAAGAAGCTATTGAATACAAATGTCCTGCATAGACTCATGTTTTCACATTTGGTTCCTAGCTGCTGGCTTTGTTTGGGAAAGTTTCAGACCTTTAAGAGAAAGAGCCTTGGTAGAGGAGGTACCATATCATGGGGAGCACTTTGAAGTTTTATAGTCTGGCCTCATGTCCTATTCTCTTTCTCTGGTTTCTGTGTGGGAATGAAATGTGATCAGCCAGCTTTCTTGTCTACTAGGTTGGCTTCAGACTCTTGCTGCCAGGCTGCCCCACCATGATAAACTGTGTCCCCCTACCCCCGCTAGAATAGGAAACCAAAATCAACTCTTTCTCCCTTAACTTGCTTTTAATCTGAATATTTTGTTCCAGCAACAGAAAAGTAACTAATACACATATCTGAACTGCTTAATTTGAGAAGCATTTAATAAAAGGATTGTCCAAAGAGAGGACACTAAGGCAATCAACAAAAGCAAGCCATCTTAAAATTTCTTACAAAAACAGAAACAGGCTTTCAAGTGAAATATAGAAAGCAGGCAGGAGGTCTAACAAAATTAAAGGAGAGTTGCACATGCCAGAAGTAGATTCAGTCAAAGCTTTAGTCTTAGAAAAACACAGCCACTACCAACATCTCAAGAAAGCAACAGGATGATCTGGAGAAATGGATATCCTAACATCTAGCTATCAGGCTTTGAGTGTCTATTTCCTTCTCTCTGTTTACTTCTTGTCTCCCATTCCTAGGAGCCGATGTTCTAGCCAATTGTTTCATGTGTGAGTCAAGGGGGCTCATAAAATCCTTCACTGGATCCTATCTTGCTATTTCCCCCTCATCATCTTCTCAATTCTTCTCAGAGCTGACAAATTCTTTTGGACTATGTTGCAAAAATCTAGTTATTCTCGTTCCTGTGTAACCCTGAATGTGTCCATGATAAATTGTCCCTACTCAACAAATGATCAGTCTGATTTCTATTCTAGTCTCAACTGGAAGTTGTTGTTAAGAAAGTCCTCAGGCTGTCTGGACTATTAATCAAAGAGGAAACAGTTGCTAGTTTTCTTCTAAATGCTTGGCTCCTTAATGACAAGTTTTGCTGTGTAAACAAAAATTGTAGATATGCTAGATATATGCTGCTAAAATATCAAGTTGTTTATATGGAACAAATATAGTGAATTTATTGATCCCTAAACTTGAAAGGTGCCATTTACAAAATATTAGGATAAAATACATGTTTCTCTACAATTATGTGATATAAGTGAAGTATCACTATTTGATTCCCACTTTTAGTTGTTTTCTTGCCCAAACGTTTTCTATTTATTCTTCCATATCTCAACTATTGTCTACCCTGTCCTTTAAAGCCATGTGAACTTTGATTCTCTGCTTCCTTCCTTTTGAGATTTTTTTTTTTCCCCACTGGAGAAGGCAACTGGAACAAAGCAGAAATGTGAGACTGAGGGTTTATTTTCTGGTTCTTAAGGTCACCTTGGGTTGGTTCCTAGTCATCTCAATGATCTAATTTCCTTTCCACTCTGTCAGGGGTACCTAGCTTCTCCCTTCCCAAGTACTGGGTACTGTGCGATAGATTCAGTGTGTCTGGATCTCGCCCTGGACCCCTGTACTGTTCCTTCTGTTTCCCTGCATCATGTATATCTTAGCACAGATCCTTTTGTAAATAAACTCTTCTTGAATCATGCTATTTTTGGTGTGCCATTTCTGGATGCTTCAACATTCATCACAGATTCCAGACAGGTATAGAGTGAAGATTATTGTTGAGTTTATTGAGAAGTAGGCTGACAGTTGATTTGATCAAGTTCATACTTCTTACAGAATCTGAACATTTCCCCACAGGGAGTCTCCTCCATAAATAACATTTCCACTGTTTTTCTTGTTTCATGACATGCAAAGCAGATTTGTTTGTTTACAGTTTCTTTTCTTGGATTATGTGATTAAAAGTTAAAAGACAATAAAAGTAAAAAAAAATCCAAATACTTAATCAAAATACAGGTATGTTATAGAATAATTATAAAGTGTAGGTTAAATAAATTATTTTCTTTTAAAGTTAAGACAAGGCTTTGTTTGCCTGTTGTATTTTGACTATAAAGCATTTAGGTTTTTTGTAACTTAACATGAAAATAGATTTAAAAATGTTCTGTTTAATTATTAGTCTTAGAAACAAAACTACAGGTTAATTTAGTACTAACCACCCAACAATGGTTCATGTATAGAGATTTTTTTTCCTATTCATATAACTTGAAATACTATGAATAAAACAAATACCAATGGAAATATAAGTGGTTTCCATATTACATGACCTTTGTATTACTCTCTTAGTAGACAACAAAAATGTTCATCATCAGAATGGTATTCCTGAGTCCCCTAAGGTTGAGTCCCACGGGCTTCTATCACTTTAGGTGGCCTATCTGTGCAGTATTTACTTCTGATATCTTCTATTTCACTGTCTTCAAGTATAAGTGAAGCCAGCACTGGAATCTGTGAAAAATAGTTTTTAGCCAGGATATGCTTGTGCTTGACCTTGTGAATAAAAATCCGTTCATACCCCTGCAAACAAAAGAAAATAAAATTCTATGGAAATCCATACATATATATTTTGCCAGATGAAACATAACCATGTTTTAGTATGCTTTTATTTATTTGTTTGTTTGTTTGTTTGGTATGACTATATTTATCAGTTTATTCAACCTAGGATACATTTTCTTCTCACTATGTCTCTTATCTTTCGGGGCTTAGTTCTTGTGATGCTTCAATTTAAAGTCTACCAGGACACGCTCTTTTCTCTCTGTGTCTCTCTCTCCTCTCTCCTTTCCTCTCCCTCTCTCCCTCTCTCCCTCTCTTAAGTCCAAATTATTGTTCTTATTAATCCTACACTCCTCCTTTCCATATATATACATAACATAACTGTATACATAACAGTTATGTGATGTGGGATAGGGTATACCCAGGTTTGTATGTTTTATTCCAGTGACATGTAACACGTGACAAATTTATATGCTTACACATACATACATTTGGACAAATCTTACATTTTAAGGTGGTTTTTTGGAAGATGCATTCATCAAGCAGCTTTATACTTTTGCTATTCCTGGGCTGTAGATTCGACACTGATGAAGTTACCATCTTTCACTGTAGGTCCATATGCATGAGGGGGAAAGCTGGATGTTAGAGGAAGCTGGGGGAAATGCTGAGTTTCTGAATACATTGTGGAAGCACCATCCTAGCTAGGAACTGCCACCCCGGCCTCCTTATTGTGTAAGAAAACCCCAGATTTGATTAAGTCGTGGTATATTTGCTCACTCTCTTATTACAGTTGAGCCCAAATGCAACCAAAACAATGAAACATTGTGTTCATTCCATTTCTTTGCTGTTGTTGCTTTTCTCCCCCCTTCACAGCACTTTACACAGTATTTGGCTAAATTAATAAATATCAGCTATCCTCTTCAATGTTCTCAATCAGATGTCTATTCACCCAATCACAATGCTACCTATGTCTCCCAAAAGTTTTATTTTCTGTGAGTAAGGTATTCTGCACTGCAGACCTTTATAAGGCCAAGGAGTAAAGTCAAAGAAAGCTCCGAGCACAAGAAAGTGTGAGGTAGAAATAGCCTGGCTCAAAGTACTTTCATAGACAAGAGTTATTACCCAAAGTAACTAATGCTAAACACTAAGTGGAGATCATTAGTGGCCTATTTGTTTCCAAACTTGGTTAAGAAGAGACAGCATCATCTCCTTACTATGTATGAGAAAAGGAGAGTCTCACATGGGAATCAAGGCACATTGGACTCAGTATGAGGTAAGTGAGTTTTATTCGGAGAGAATTCCCTTACACATGAAACAGATGACCGCCGCGGGTTCCCGCTCCACAGATGGTCACCCTGCCACCCGAATGCTCTCTGCAAGAGAGCGAGCTGGGGTCAGGAACCCCAGACTTAGCCTTCCCCGAGGTCATGTCCACCTGTGACTATGCCCAAATGTGCGTGGTCAGTGCTACAGGGTGGATATCTCACTACAGGAGAGCATTAAATCATTAACAAAGGTGTCCCATCTTACTTCATGAGGTCACTGCAACTTTCATTCTTTTTGTTAACACCACGTTTTTAACCAATCTTCTCAGTTTTCATAATGCGAAGATAGTAAGTCTTCACAGAGCTTGATAATGACAAAGATACTGGGACATGGGGAATTTTTAGTGAACCACCGGCCTAGCTTTAGCCAATTTACATGCTGTGAGGGAGAGTTTAGTCCTCTCACTCTGCCTTGCTGCAAGGAATGGAGACCACTTTGTACTCTGTGATGATGGCGGTTATTGCGGTGGTGGTGGAGGTTGGTTACAGTGGTTATTTATGGTGGTGGTGGTTTTTTTGTTTCTTGTTTGTTTGTTTTTGTTTTTCAAGACAGGGTTATTTCTGCATTGCTTTAGAGCCTGTCCTGGAACTAGCTGTGTAGACCAGACTGGCCTCGAACTCACGGAGATCCACCTGCCTCTGCCTCCCAAGTGCTTGGATTAAGGGTGTGAACCACCAACACCGGGCTGGTGGTGGTGATTTTTATGGAGGTGGTGGTGGTTGCTGTTTTGTGGTTTGTTTGTTTGCTCTGTTTGTTGTTGATTCGGGGAAAACAGGTGTGTGTGTCTTTAAAGAGCATTCTGGAAATGCTTTAATTGGCCGCAAAAAATTTGAACTATTCAAAAGGGAATGGACAGTAAGGTTTACAGGACAGCACACACCGGAGGCTGCAGAGAGAGGGAAAGGCTTGGCATTAGAGCAAGAGCCTCTGTTCTACTTGCAGAATTCAGAACGGCTGGTGTCCTGAGATTAGAAATGCTCCCAAATGGAGCATTTAATTTGCAACTTCAGTGATTTGATTAGGTACACAAAGGAGTTGTGTGGATTAATTGAAGAAGAACTGGAATGTCAGCTTTGGGAATGGATTTCAGTTTCATCGAGGGTCCTAGATGAAATGATATCACTGGTACTGGCTGTGTTTCCAGTGATTAAATATTTATGAAGCAGCTTAGTTTACTAACTATAACATTTAACATAGCTTCAATTTCTTTCTGCCCTTTCTTTCAATCCCTAGAGTGAATCTTTTTCATAGTCTGGCTTCTTAGAACTCAAAAATTATTGGGAAAGGCTACAATTGTAACTAGTTTCCTCTCTTTATATAATTTCCTCAACCTCCCTTTAAAAAACAAACAGCAGTAGCATCTTGCTTGGGACATCACTGTTCAGCATGGCTGAATTGTTTTATTCTCCTTTAGTTGCATCTTGTGCAGAGAGTTAAAGATACAGCAGTATAGCAAATTGAGGGAGAATTGAACCAGCTCTTGGCACTGCACTTGCTGAATATAAAGGGAGCCCTCCAGGAAGGCTCTAAGGGCCCCTCAAGTTCATTCATCATGACGAAATTGTTTTGCACGTTAATTTAAAACATAAGGCCCCAAATGAGTATCTTTACAATAAATAATGCTTGTTATCAATATATAAATATTATGGAATCCAGAGTTTGTCCTTTGATTTATCAGTAGGAGTTTGCTTTAAAAAGTACTCAGTTGTCAAATAAATTCTATTCGTAACTTTGTGATATAAACAGCATTCTTAATGATGAGATTCCATTCTTCCATTTGCTTCCACCTGACTAAGAGTGGGGAGTCACTGCGAAGCTTAACCACCACTTAATCCCAGGAACGTACAGGATGGTATCTGTAATGCATTCTGAATGAAGCATCTTACCTGCTCAATACTCTCCATTTTGAGATGAGCTTCCCCTTCATCCTTGGTGAGAAGAATGCAGTTCCAGGGAGACCACTGCACGTTCTTATCCCACCTGACCATGACTAGGTCATTGAGATCATCCCAGGCACTGAGGATGGACTGGGAGGCCCAGATGTTCTCCGTCAAGTACTTAATATCTTGGAGCTGCATGCCAAAATAAGGTTGAACAATAATTTTGTTTCCTTCTAAATAAATGGTTTAAATATCATCATATTAATTGGGAAAACAATTAAATCAGACTGAATGAATTTTCAAAGGGGAACATCATTCAAAAGACTTTTCTTTCTTAAGCCACAGCCCAAACTTTGTCATCTTTCAACATCGTCCACACGAAGTCTGCTATCAGACATCTCATTCTCTGACTATGACTACCAGTCTCCTATAGCTAGCATACTCTATCATACATGCTGTCATTCTTTTTAAACATCTGCCTTCTGTTCTAGGATGCAATGTCTGATTTACCAGTGAATTTTCAGAGCATAGTATAAAACTTAAACACTGTGCATGAAACCCTTAGATGCCATAGCTGTCTGCTTTAGGAAATCCTACTTAATGTTTCCCAGACAAAACTATGTTCAAATGTATTGAACTTTGTGTCAGTACAGCCCCTTAGGAGACAGGCTCTTTGACTAGCATCTTTTATAGATTGTACCTGCATGAGGAAAGCAATCTGAGAGTCATCCCCATAGTCAGCTTCTGAGTAATAGAGCCGCTGAAGTAAACACTTGTACTTCAAAAACGATTCCCGTTTTTCAGTCTCATTCGCAAGGTTCACACAGTGACGGCAGCGGTATATACGATGTGAGGTAGGTGACACAGAAAATTCCACAGACGGCAAATACATCTGGCAACTGTGGCAGAAATAAATCTTATCATAAAACTTCAGTGGGTCTTGAGGGACCTAAATAGAAAAAAATAAAAGATGATGAAAATCCAAGCCACATTCTAAACAGAAACACTGAACTCTGCTTAGAATTAATTCTAAAACTGGTTACTTTTAAAAATCCTGTTTTGCCTTTTAACTGCATATTCTGTATAAAATTTAAATTCCTAGGAAGATTCATTTTCCTGATCAAAGCATTAAAAAATCTGTGTTACTCTCCAACTCCTTGATAGATGATGGCAGAGTATTTAGAAAATCAAAGTTCTGACTCTTAGTACATTTTAAGAATATATCCTTTTTGTCTATTACTGAGAATGAGAGATAGCTATCTGCACTCGGCGATCTCATTCAATATTATATTGAGAGTTGTTTCCTGAGTGATGTGGAAGGGAAATAAATCGATTCATGTGGAAGCAGCAGAGGGTAACCTTGCTGTTGACCTAAGAGCTTTGCAGAGGCTGTCTGGCTGTCCTTTCATCACGATGTGTCCAGTAAGAAATCTGCTGCTGTCCTTATTTTTGCCCTACTGTGTACTGACTGCTCTTCCTCCCTGGCTGTTGATGGGGCTTGGTGTCCTTTCCTTTCCCACAGCTCAGTGATGCTAGTATTGGTTTTCGCTCTGTCTCCATATGTAGTCATTCTGCATAGGTTTTATTGTCTTCCAGTTCAGTGACTTTTTTCTTTATCAATATAATGAAATCTCCAGTTAATTTAACCCAGTGTTGATTTCCCAGCTTAGGTGAGGGGGTTTTCTTCTTCAGAAGTTTCACACCATGTCTTCAGTAACTTCTCTCGATTTTGAACATCTAAAGAATCCTTAAGGGCTGATCAAATGTCTTTTTCCACTAATTCCCACATTTGTCAGTGTTAGGCCAACTCTGAGTAATGATTTAGCTACTCATTTTATTTATCACATTTTGTTTATATGTCTCACAAGTTTTTGGATGCTAGATGTAATGAATTTTACTTTAATTGTGAATATCTTTATACCTATCAATAGCCTTATACTTTTTGGACTGAGGCACAGTTAAATTACTTATAAAAGTTTGATCTATTAATGTTTTGGTTTTAAGTTTGTTTGTTTTAAAGCAAGAATAAAGCAGTTCTCCATTTGGGAGTACCTTCGTTTGCCTGCCAATTACCAGATGAACTAGCATGTTCTAGTCTTTCTTGGGAACTGGTACCATACAACCAGCCTTGTGTTAAGTGTTGAATGTTGTTACCATTTGCTCTTATGGGCATCTGTCCTCAACCTTGGGCATGATCCCCACATTCAGGCTGTGCAGAATTCAGTTGAATATGAAAATCATCGAGGAAAACTTTCCAAATCTGAAGAATGACATGCCCATGAAAGTACAAAGAAAACTACAGACCAATATCCCTGATGAAAATCAATGCAAAAATCCTCAATAAAATACTGGCAAACCGAATTCAAGAATACATCAGAGAAATCATCCACCATGACCAAGTAGGCTTCATCCCTAGAATGCAGGGATGGTTTAACATACGAAAATCTATCAACGTGATCCACCATATAAACAAACAGAAAAAGAAAAACCATATGATTATCTCCCTAGATGCAGAAAAAGCCTTCGACAAAATTCAACACCCTTTCATGATAAAGGTCTTGGAGAAGTCAGGGATAACAGGAACATACCTAAACATAATAAGAGCAATATACAGCAAACCAACTGCCAACATCAAACTGAATGGAGAGAAACTTAAGCCAATCCCTCTAAAATCAGGAACAAGACAAGGCTGCCCTCTCTCTCCATATCTCTTCAATATTGTACTAGAAGTTCTAGCTAATGCTATAAGACGACAAAAGGAGATCAAGGAGATCCAAATTGGCAAGGAAGAAGTCAAACTGTCTCTATTTGCAGATGATATGATAGTTTACATAAGCGACCCAATAAACTCTACCAGGGAACTCCTACAGCTGATAAACACCTTCAGCAAACTAGCAGGATACAAGATAAACTCAAAAAAATCAGTAGCCCTACTTTTTTCAGACGAAAAAGAGACAGAGAAAGAAATCAGAGAAACATCACCCTTTACAATAGCCACAAGCAACATAAAGTATCTTGGTGTAACGCTGACCAAACAAGTAAAAGACCTATATAACTAGAACTGTGTGGCTCTAAAGAAAGAAATTAAAGAAGATACCAGAAAATGGAAAGATCTCCCATGCTCTTGGATAGGTAGGATAAACATAGTAAAAATGGCAATCTTGCCAAAAGCAATCCCCATTAAAATCCCACCACAATTCTTCACCGACCTTGAAAGGATAATAATCAACTTTATATGGAAAAACAAAAGATCCATGATAACCAAAACAACCCTATACAATAAAAGAACTTCAGGAGGCATCACCATTCCTGACTTTAAGCTCTACTATAGAGCTATAGTTCTGAAAACAGCCTGGTATTGGCATAAAAATAGACAGGTAGACCAATGGAATCAAATTGAAAATCCTGATATTAACCCATGCACCTATGAACACCTGATTTTTGACAAAACAGCTAAAATTATACAATGGGGCAAGGACAGCATCTTCAACAAATGGTGCTGGCACAATTGGATGAGGGTATGTAGAAGACAGCAGATAGACCCATGTCTGTTGCCATGCATAAAACTCAAGTCCAAATGGATCAAAGACCTCAACATCAATCCAGCCACATTGAACCTCTTAGAAGAGAAAGTAGGAGGTACCCTTGAACAAATTGGTATAGTAGACCGCTTCTTGAACATAACTCCAGGGACACAGACACTGAAAGAAACAATTAATAAATGGGACCTCTTCAAACTCAGAAGCTTCTGTAAGGCAAAGGACACAGTGGACAAGACCAAACGGCAGCCCACAGACTGGGAAAAGATTTTCACCAATCCTATATCCGACAAAGGGCTGATCTCCAAAATAAACAAAGAACTCAAGAAACTAGTCAACAAAACACCAAATAACCCTATTAAAAAATGGGGTACAAAACTGAAGAAAGAATTCTCAATAGAAATCTAAAAGGCTGAAAGACACTTAAGAAAATGCTCAACATCCTTAGCTATCAGGGAAATGCAAATCAAAACAACTTTGAGATACCATCTTACCCCTGCCAGAATGGCTAAAATCAGAAACACCAGTGATGACTCATGTTGGAGAGGATGTGGAGAAAGGGGAACACTCTTCCACTGCTGGTGGGAGTGCAAACTCATACAGCCATTTTGGAGATCAGTATGGCAGTTCCTCAGGAAAATGGGTATTAGTTTACCACAGGACCCGGCAATCCCCCTCTTAGGCATATACCCAAAGGATTCACATCCATGCAACAAAGACATCTGTTCAACTATGTTCATAGCAGCACTATTTGTAATAGCAAGAACCTGGAAGCAACCTAGATGCCCCTCGATTGAAGAATGGTTAATGATGATGTGGCACACACATCTACACAATGGAATACTACTCTGCAGAAAAAAATAATGGTATCTTGAAATTCGCAGGCAAGTGGATGGCACTTGAAGAAACCATCCTGAATGAGACAACCCCATCACAAAAAGAGGAACACAGTATGTACTCACTCATATATGGATTTTAGACCTAAAGCAAAGGATCACCAGCCTATAATTCACATCACCAGAGGAACTAGGACACAAGTTGTATTCTAAGAGATTCATATAAAGTCCCTCACAGAACTGGGAAGGGACAAGTCCCCCAGAGCTCAAGTGAAGTGTGGGGGGGGGGGGGGGGGACAGCGAATGAAGAGAGAAGTAGGAGAAAATGAGGGGGAGGAAAGGAAAACATGAGCGACCAGGAATATTGAGCCTGGTTAGGAATAGAAGATAGGAAAGGGAGAGAGAGAGACAGAGACAGAGAGAAAGAACATAAAAGAGGGAGCCAATATTGGTTTGAAGATAAAATTGAACACAAAGAAAGGTCTAGAGAACTACAAGACTGCTCCCAACTAACAATTTGACCTTCATAAATGCCCTTCCAGAGAGTGAGATCAACAACTAACTTCTCCATGGAGCCCTCATCTAATACCTGTTGAAAACAGGATCAATAACCCATACATAAACACTGAGTCAAACTAGAACCCAGATGCAGATGGAGAGGACAAGACCAGGCGGCAGAAACACATACAGACAGCTTACCTGAACAAGGAGGAGCTAATGGCCACTAGACTGATAGCTAGGAAGACAGCATGGGACTGACTCAAGCCCCCTGAATATGGGTCTCAGCCAGAAGGACTGAGCAGTCTAAGGGACCTCAGACAGTGGAGCCAGGATGTATCCCTGGTGCACAAAAGGACTTTGCGAACATATCCCCCATGGAGGGATAACTGCCTTAATCTAGAGACAGGAGGGAAGCCCTAGTCCCTGCTTCACATGACCTGTCAGATATACATGACCCCAACTGGAAGGCATTCCCCTATATATGGAATTGGGGTGGGGGGATGGGAGGGGAGGGTGGTTAGAGTGCATGTGAGAGGGCAGAGAGGGTAAAAGGGAGGGAAGGTGGGGGGGAGGGATGGAGGGAGGGAGGGGAGGAGGGAAGAAGGTAGGGAGGAAGGGAAGAAGGGAGGGAGGGAGGGAGAGGGAACTGGGATCGACATGTAAAATAATAAATTAAATTAAAAAAAAAAATGCTTTGACTCCAAAATTTAAGTTGAAGGACAAGTTACTGGGGGAAAGGATTTCTATTTTTGTTTCCACAGAAAATGAAAAGATGTGGATTCCTTCCAGAGTAATGTGGTTTGATCATGTCAGACCGCCTGAAACAGAGTACGAGGTGATCCTACATTCAAAACAGATGGACAAAGCAGCCTTACAGACTACAGCCAGGATTTCTGAATCTTCTTCGAATCCCCCCATGACAGCCCCCCTTACCAGTAGGAAGTAGTTTGGAAAGAACAATGCCCAAATTCCCAAATATTGTGTATAAATGTTTGTTTTCATTTAATTGGACTTTGTTATATAAAACAAAATAAATTAATAAAAAAAGAAATGGAAGAAAGAAACCAAAAAAT